ACATATACAAGCCTTGGAGGAGTTACTTTTGAGACGGTTGCAGCTCTTCGGCAACAGGTTTACATAAAGCAAGGAGCTCTAGTGAAATGTATGACTAAGTAATTAAAAATATGAAATTAGCAAGTGCCACTGAAATTTATTGTAATTTACTAAATAAATTTGCTCGTTCTATTGAAATTTATAGACAATGACAAAATGACATAAGGCAGTACTATTGACATGTATTGCTAAGTAATTATATTGTAAACATGACATAAGCAAGTATTATGTAAGTAGCCTACTATTGAAATGTGTAGTAATTGAAAGCATGAAAATATTTTTTGAAATGTATGAGATAAGACTCTTTTATTAATCCAATTAAATGAAAATAGTGTGCTTTTTTTTAAATTTCAATGTACATATTCATTTTCAGCAAATACATAAATGTTATTTCAAAGGCAAAAACGTTTTAACGAGAACAATTTAGCTCAAGCAATCTAAAAGTATTTGCCAAGCGAAAAAATTAACCTTTACGTGTCATAGAATTTCACTCTGTTAGTAACAATGATGACTTTAACCCTTTGGGGACGGAGTCTTTTCGGGCTGTCTGTGCCAAAAAGACGGAGCACTTTTTACGAACTCGGAACTCACATTGCAAAAAAATTTATAAATTTTATCATCGCTCTGATGTCCTAAAACTATCTATTTTACATTTATAAAACTATATATATATTCTTGTAGAAAATTGAAAAATCTAATACAATATACATAAATTAAGCTGAAATTTCAACATTTATGCAAATGAGCTATACTGATTTGCATAATTTATGCGTAAAATGTTTGGTTACACTTAGAATAAACATGACTTACCGGTGTAAATTGTGTGAATTCTTTGATGGATGAAGCATGAATAGAGCCAAACACATGTGTTTTGGGAAATAAGGCCTATGGATGCCCTTCAGACACCCCTGGCATAGAGTTCTACTCTTTTTCCTGCCACCGGGGTACTTTTTGGTTGCTATTGACAGAGCAGTCCTTTTCACCATTGTGAACCCAAATATGATTTTTTTTTTTGAGCTAAGGGTTACTGAGAAAGTTTTCTGCATACTTATTAGTTATTATTATTCTCTCTCACAAACGTTTTAATGTTGTTTTTTTTTATGTAAAAATTAGCATAAAGTACTCAACTGGGGTGCTTATCCCATGAGGAATATTTATAGGCTCTATTTTCTAAAAGTTCATAGAGGCCATATCTGTACAATTCAGAATCCTTAATCCTAAACCAAGTATTCACAACCTTATCGTAAACATAATCATTTTGACTGTCTTCATTACTTTCCTGGCTGTTTTCATCAGTGGCAGTGTCAGATTCACTGCTAGAAAGTGAGAAATCAGAGTCACTAAGCACAATTTGATCAGAGTCGCTGTCAGACATGTTTGAATTTCACGATATAACTATACACACACACACAAATAAAAAAATTCCTGCACACAAATAAATTTAGTTCACGCCAACGAACGCCGCCACTACAATGCCGGGTTGTGCAGGAATACGTAAGAATAATTTTGATTCGCTGGTACAATGCTAAGCCAGCTCTATTTATTGGGCCGATGGTTCGGACTTTGGTCTTTCTCGCTAGTCAACCTTGAGTCGATAGATCGGCCCTTACGTCTCCAGAGGGTTAATAGTGATTATTTAGATTTTGTAACAGTCGATGGAGTGTGCTGGTAAATGCTGATAGACTGGGGAACAAAGAAATTTTTATATCTTATGGACCTAACGTCGAGGGAAAGAATTCGCCCTAATCGATCTGATCTTTGGTGTTTACGATGAAGAGGGTGATGATGATGACGATGATTGAGTATTTTTATGGCGCTTGTGTCCATGCTATTTTAGCATGATCACAGAGTTCTGCTGTCCTAAAATCTATTTAAAGAAAAAAAAATCTTTTAATGGTTCTTAAATGACTTTTTGTCATTTTCACTGTCACTCAAAGATTGAGGCAGACTGTTCCACAATGTTGGGGCAATAGCTTCAAAAGAGCTCACTCCGTATGACTTCTTTCTGTGTCCATCCACACTGGGAACTCTCAGTAAGGACTGTGTTGAAGAGCGTAGGTTCTGTATGGAAACATTTTTAGAAATTAGTTTTTAAAGATATAAAGATGCAGGGCCTTCTATGCTACAGCTGTATAGGGTGGGATGTATGCGCCAATTTTAAAAAAAAAAAGTTTTACTAAATGCATTTTGCTTCATTTATTTCTTCCAGCGAATTTAGTTTTTTTTCGTTTGTTTTTTTAGCATTATTACTTGCTTTCTTGATAAGTAAGTCTATTTACTCAATGTTCATGGGCGCCCGGAGGGGGGGGGCCAGGGGGGCACTCCCCACCCCCCTGGATTGATTGGATAAAATTTTTTAAACAAAAATAGACAAAAATATGTATTAAAGGGAAAATAAAGAGAAAGTAACTAAGCTTTTTTTCCCCCTTCCCCCAGAGAGTTTATCGATTCCCCCCCCCCCCCCTAGAAAGTTTTCTGCGGGCGCCACTGTCAATGTTTGATGATAAATGATGAAATCCCACAACAGCGCGTAATACTGAAGTTCAGTAGGCTTCCATGCTTTTTACTGTAGAACTATATTATATCTTTTGTTAATGACAAATTTGTGTAATTTGTTAAGGAATAAAAGTCTTTGGTATTTTTTTTTAAAATATAGATTTAGGTCGTGGTCATGCCACGTTAGCTTATTATTAATGGTGACACCTATGTACTAATATGTCTCTAATTGTTATGTAAAGTGACAGCCAGGTACTAATGTGCCTTTAAGTTAATACGATACTGAATTTAATTAAGGTAACACTCTGTATTTTTAAAAATAAAATTATAATTAATTAATTTCAAATGTGCGACAGTAACAAAAAAAAAGGGGGTGGGGGGAGGCGCAAAACAAATGAATACATGTGTGATACATCTGTTAACTGACAAGCCACAAAATGTATCGTGCCACTCCATGGGTTGTCACACCGGATCTAAATTATACTAAAATTATATGATTTATGACATTGTAGTTAATTTCTTCTTATTGTTACAAATATATATTTTTTAAAAATAATTAGAGCAATGTGTCAGTCGTCTACTAAAATTGATCTATTGGCAACTTAACTCAATCTATAACCAATGTTCCCTCTAAGGTTTGTTGGTTCGTGTGCAAATCATACCATTGTGTGCAAAGTTTTACACCATCAATATTTTTGTGTGCGAAATTTTACAGCCCACAAACACACACTTATATGGAAATTTCCTGCGCGGTGCTCAAAACTGCTGCAATAATTATAAGAACAATAATTATAAACAAAATCGTTGTTTACGGAGCGCATAAGCCTTACGTTTACATCGATTGAGTGCGGAATACTTACCGGAACAAGTACATTTCTAAGATAGATTACTCTTGTGGAAATTTGAGCTATTTGCATTCTAATTTTTGCCAGAAATGTGGCAAAATTTTACGATCTATTATTTACAGACATCTTCTGGTAATAAAAATATATGAAAATAAAACTTTCTGGTCTTAGAATTGTTGAAAATCAAGAAAAAAGTACGGCTAAAAATTAAAACTTTTGAACAATTTTTAACTAGTGACCAGAGATGTCCGTTTTGCTGCAGTTGTTTTTGTTTGTCAAGGAACTCAATGTTTGTTGACTGCTTTGGACTGTGACTAGGATTCTAGGATTACTACTAGGATCTAGGAATTGTTTTTCTTCTAAAAACTTTAGGATGTTATTTAATGATATCTACGCCTACGCTATATTAGAATAGTAAAAGTATAATATAAGGCAAGGCCAAGGTGCCAATCAATCAATGTCATTCATAACTGATGTGACTGTCACGCTAGAAAAATAACTTAAATAATTATATTAGTTATATAGGGCAGCGCTTGTCATTTAATGTCGGAAATCTATTAGTAGAACTGCTGTAATCATCCGGGTACTTGGGTCGGACAAAATGTCAACACTGTTTAGTACTACTTTGTTAGCGAAGAGGCCCTTAACCTAAATCAAAACTTTTTACAACTTAGACAACTATATTTTACTAAATATTTTACATATTTTTTTAAAATGCTTTTTTGTGAAATGGGACTTCATTGTGCGTAATGCACATGTAACAGTGATTCTAGATACAAGGATAGTTCGAAGGATGAGCTGACAGTAGTGCTGAAACTCACTATTGGCTGCAATGTTTTAAGAAATATTTGTCAGACATTCTAAAAATAGTAACGCTGTGACGTTTTCCGGTCTGAGAAATGACAAACCCTAAGGTCCAATTTTTGTTACTCTGATTGTAAAACTTTGACAAAAAATTCAGGCTACTTCTATTGCCTATGGCCTATACCTATGCACCCTCATAAATAATAAATAATATAATACATCATCATAAATGTGTGATTCCCGTTCCCCTGCCCCTCTTAAAATTCCAAATTTATTTAATATTCAAATTCAAGGCAATGGCCATTGCTACCATTGGCAGGCATTGACGCATTGATTGGACTCATTGGTGGTGAAAAAAAACTAGGTCTACAGAACTACTATATTGTCTAGATTATTATCTATGTTTATAATTATTATTTTGCTAAATAAAATAAGATTTAGATATTAAAGTTAACTACTTACCCAACTGACTGAAACATAATATTAAAAGTGTAAATTGATTTTAAAATCCTTTTAAAATACATAACATGTATGACATATCAATATCATTTTATTCTGCTTACAGTTCTTGCTACTGATGAAAGAGTTTAAAAAATGAAGCACAAGAAAAGGGCCATAAAAAAGGATATTTAATGCAGTATTTAATCATAATTCTTCATTTTTCTAAAACTAAGAGCAATGTTTTCAATTTGCCACAATTTTCCCAGCTTGGTCTGGACTCTGGTCGTTCTTTTATGTGCATTTGGATTAATGTTTTTTCATGGTATTATCCAACGCTACTTTACTGAAAAGGTTAAATATAAAGAAAGGATCAGTGACCTACTTACTTCATATACCTTTGACTTTGAAAAAGCACTTGAAGAGCGCCTTGAAAATGTAAAAAAATATTCATACCCTTTTGACTTGAATCAAGTAGATAAAAGAAATAACTTACCACTCCAAGAGTTTCTAGATATCTATGACGGAAAATGGTAATTTGTTATTGTTTGATTTTCTTTTCTTAAAGTTTCAATATAATTTTTTTTAAAAATGTTATGACTTTTAATACTTATCTAAGCATAATATCATGATTAAGTTTTGTTATAATATAAATATAATTTTTGTAATTATTTTAAAAGATTTTCATACGGTTAATTAACCTTCATTTAGTAGAATTAATTTGTTATTTGGAGGAAAATAAATTAAATGTAATAGGCTTGGTAATTTACGTTAACAATATTAATATGTCTATAATAATAACTCTTTAATTAGTAAGAGGACAAACAAAATATTGCTCTTAGTAACACACTATAGAACAAAACATTCATTTTTTTTTTTAGGCCTGTGATTATTAATGACATAGTCCATAACTGGCAAGCATTTAATTGGACCAAAGACTTCTTTGTGCAACAGTACAGAAATGCTAACATAATAATGTCTTCATCTGTAAGTAATATTTTTGTCCGTCATTACTAACCTTCTTGAAGGTCAAAATGTTTCAGATGATTGGATTATGTTCTCCACATTTAATCAACTTGTTGCTTAGTAGCCAAGTAGCCATGGACATAAATGTTGCTGTTGGTTAGTCTTCAGATTATTTGTTTTTTTTTTACAATCAGGGAAATGTCACTTAGCTTTGTCTAGCTCTATATTTTTGCAGTACTTTTTTTTAAATTTTAATTAAAGGTGTAGTAAGGTATAATGTCAATCATCTTTAATACAATATCTTAATCCTCACAGAAGGGTAAATTGCTTAGAATTCTTTTATTCTTATATTAAATTTGTTTTCTACTTAACAATAGTAAATCTGGTAAATGTAAAGGACGCCATCTAATTCTTATGACCTCTTTTTTTAAATTGAGATGATTTTTGGCAAGTAACGCACTTCTTGTGTTTTTAAGAATCCCATTTAGTGCAGCTATTTGAGATTTTATTGTACTCACCTACTGACTCACCCGCCTGTTCTTGATACATATGAGGGCTAGCCTAACTACATATTAATGAGTAACAGTTGAACTAGAAGTAAACAAGAGCCAGTCAATCTTTAAGATAAATGTCATTGATTAAACACTTATTTCTTCTTTGCACAGAATAAAAGCAGCTTTGTGGTGCCAATGGGATCTTTCCTAGAGCAAATTGACGTTGGCAAAGAAAACTCATGGCTTTACCTTCAAGATGAGCTTTTTCTATTACAATACCCAGAACTACGCAAGCAGATTGAGGATTCGGTGGGTATTTCCAGAAGACTAATTAAACATATTAAAAATTCTCATAAGTAATATCTATTGTTTATAATGTTTTGCTGTAGCTATTGGGGTAGGTCATTACATCCTCATTGTTTATTCTTTCCATCCCTTGAATCTTTTCCCTTTTATTCAGCAGATTTAAAAAAAGAGTGAATTACTTTTAGAATCCATATCTAAAGTGTGTCATGTTAGGTATAAATGTGTAGGGAAATGCATGAGTCTTCTATACATGTTTGTTTCAAAACATATAAGTTCAACACTTTAAAGTTGTGAGTAAAATAATGCATATTTTTGAAAATGTGTAAGAAATTGTTTTGGTGATCAAATGCAAAATAGAAAAAAAAAATTACATGAAATTTTTCATTTATCTGTTTATTCAGAAGCACAAATCATATTTGTATGTCATATGAAGAAAACAAAATATTTTATGAGCATTTGACAACAAATATAAAAGATTTTGAAAAAAGTGAAAAGAAATGGGAAATAATGAACAAAATATAATAATTCACCAGAAATGATTCAGCTGGATAGTTCATCACTATAGTGTCACATGTGCTACTTTTGATTGTGCTTTTCTCTTTCCTAATTTATAGCGCTCTTACAATTTATTTTTAAATTTGTGCGTTCATGATGAGCTGGATGTATTCTGTTGCATTTTGTGTTATTTACATTGAGGCGGAATATTGTCAGTTTTAGTAATCCCCCTGATGTAGAATCAATTTTTGGCCTTAGTTATTAGGCAGCTTTAGTTAATCTATGCCAGGATTTTCTTTTCTCCGATCCTGAGATTACAGCTGGCAATTTCAACAAAATGGGGTGAAAACGGGGTTATTAAGAACTTTTTGTTTTTCTAAAGGTGTTGTTTCCATTTATCAACTGGTCAATGAATGAATTGTATGAAGTGACAGTGTGTTGTTGTGTCACCAATAAGTCTTTTTATATAAGAGAAATAGGAAAAGAGTTAAGCTGTGTTTGAAACTTGTTGAAATGTTCGGTTTCTGAAAGTTCTTGAAAATATCTTGTAGTCGATCAATGCTTATTTTGAAGATATTAAAAAGTAATACGTTAGTCTTTAAAATTCCATGTGAGTCTAACACTTGCTTACAAAACAACATGTATCCTGTCCTGACAGGTTTATACCAACGAAAACTATTTCAACCTTTTCCCTGAAGAAGTTCGACCATGGGATTGTTACTTTCTTTGGGGAACTGCCCATTCCAGGTCAAGTTTGCATATTGACCCTTACAACTGGACGGGGACAAATGCAGTTTTAACTGGACACAAGAGGTGGAAAGTAAGTCTTAAATAACTGTAACGAATGTTTCCCGTTAAACCAGGGGTGTCAAACTCAATCGCCCGGCAGGCCAAAACTCAAATCACACGTAAGGTTGCGGGGAGAACAGGATAAACATTAAAGAATCGAAAATTGCATATTTTTAAAAAAACATTTATATAAATGAAAACAGAGACAAGTTTTAATAATTAAAAATCATTGGCAACCCCATTTTCGCTCTTATGGCAATTTGTCAGAGCTGGATGTTTGGCACATTTTCTTGGCTACAAAAACAAGTAAGCCCGTTTATGTTGGAAGTAACATTCTGTGTCATTAAGATTCTCATGATGGACTGCAAGTGTTCATCGGTGAGACGATTCCTGTGTGATGTTTTGTTAATCTTCATCACAGAAAACAGCTGTATATATATGCGCTACCCAACATGCTCAAGGTTTGAGCCGCATGTAGATGAAGTCGGGGTATCTCTTCAATAATGAAATGAGTTAACTGTGCAGGCCCAACTGTGTTTTCTTTGCCTTTAGTGTCCCATTACACTGCAGATCTATTAGCTCCATCTGCAAATTTACAGGTGCAGTTTCCACGTCTTTGACAAATGGGTTACGAAACTGATCGAAATTAAATATCTGTGCTTCAAAGTCACTTTTGCGCCTTGTGAACTCGGCGCGAAGTAAGCTAAGTTTTTCAGCAAAGTGTGCATTGGGAAACACCATAGCTTCAACTTGGATATAATTGTACGCCGGTCAAGACCTTGCGGGCCTGATATAATTGTTCGGCGGGCCGGATGTGGCCCGCGGGCCTTGAGTTTGACACATGTGCATTAAACAGACTGCATTGTTCTGATCTTGTTTTGATAATGCAAATAAGAGAATGGTATAGGTTTTATAGTTTTAATAAAACAACTTTTCAAACCATAATTTAATCATTTATTTTTGATCATATGTGTACGCCTAGCATAGAAGGTATCAAATGTCTAGACCTAGCATAGAAGGTATCAAATGTGTACACCTAGCATTGAAGCTATCAAGTATGTACACCAAGCAGTGTTGATTTATTTTTGCTTTTTTAATCCAAATTATCTTGAGATAAAACACATGCTTTTTTGTATACTGCAAGCTTATCCTACCAGGCCAAGACAAATACTTATCTGTTTATCCAGATAAGATTTGTGGATTTCCTTTGGATTGTAGGAAATATAATAGGTAATTGGAATCCCTAATCTGTAGTGAGTGTCAAAAATACAATGTATGTTGTTCTAGCATTTGAATTTAGTTATTAAAATTGTTTTGGAGTTGGCTAACGTAATTAAAAACCAACTATGTTAACTGTATGTATGTAAAGTCAGATGAGTAAATGTTAAAAAAGTGTTTAGTAATGGTTTCACTATAAAATTATTTTTAGTAGAGCGTTGATTTTTCAAATGCTGATTATTAAAAAAGAAAACAAAATGGCTGCTATCTTAAGAGCCCCTGTTTTTATTTTTATTATTATTATTATTATCATGCGCATGTAGCATAGCCTACAAACATCAGAAAAAACCACTGATCTGTTACGAACCTGGTCTTCCTTAAAGGGTTCGTTGGCTTTGTTGTCTAGGGGTTTAATTATATACACTTCACAAACCATTATTCTCATATTAAATATCTTTATTAACTAACTAATCTACATCTTGAACTGCCATTACTCACACGACCACACTCTACAATAATACTACGTCACATCCCCTTTCACACAATACGTCACAAGATACTAAGAATAATAGATAAAACAACACACATGCTCTCCAAGCCAATACGCAATCACAGTATACATCCAAGTCCTTAACATGATCCTTTAAACGCAAGGGAAGTAAACTCTAGATACTTAATGAACATGCAGTGACCAGTCTGGGCTAATAAAATCTGCAAACTTTTAAAGAAATATATATATGACACGTGATGCCATGCGGCCCTGTTAAAGCACAAGCATTGACCAATGAGTTAATGTAAGATTGTACTGTATACCATGTGATAACTTGTACTGCATACTATGTGATAAAGTCATTAACGCAACCTTTCCTTGGGAGTGTTCGGTTATTTTAAAAAAAAATGCTTTTCAGAAACACGCCTCGGTCCGAATTAGTTGGGTGAAATCACGGATACTAACTTTTAGAATAGCAAAACATTCTTGTCCCTTTTAAACTAAATTCAAAAACTGTAACACAAAAGTCACGCCATGACCTGGCCAATCTTGTTAATTGTACTGTATTATAAAACTAATTAGCACACGCTATTTAACTTTTTAAAGTCATGACCCCATGTCACTGAAGCAAAGTGATTCACGACTGCAATTCATTTTTAAAAAAAAATGCTCTTCAGTGATGTAAATGACAAACAAAATAGATTATTTCAGCATAATAGATTTCAATATAATTTATATAATGTAAATTATGACATTTTATGGCATGCCTGAAATTATAATTCCAAGTTTAAGATAACGGTAAACTAGTACAACTGGTTTTAAATCGATACATGGTTAAGTTTATCGTTTTAGCCCTGTGACCCAACTGGAAAGTCCTTTGCGGCATCATTTGGAGTCACTGCCATTGTTTTGGAAGCCATTTTCCAGTATTTTCATTATAGCAGGCTTTTTATGTGCCGGACTATCTTAATATTATGTAGTGTTTTTGTAGTTCCTAAATCAGCCTAGGAATATATGTGTATATATATGTGTTGTTTGTTTTATCTTTGTTTGTTTATATCTATGTATGTATATAGATACATTTTTGTTTTGTATTCCATTCCAAGCTTCCCCCTTTTTTTAAAGTATGGAAATATTTTGTGAAAGATTCAGAACAAGCATTGGACACATGTAAATCTGTCAAATCTCAATGAAATAAAATGTGAAAGATTCAGAACAAGCATTGGACACCTGTAAATCTGTCAAATCTCAATGAAATAAAATGTGAAAGATTCAGAACAAGCATTGGACACATGTAAACCTGTCAAATCTCAATGAAATAAAATGTGAAAGATTCAGAACAAGCACTGGACACATGTAAACCTGTCAAATCTCAATGAAATAAAATGTGAAAGATTCAGAACAAGCACTGAACACCTGTAAATCTGTCAAATCTCAATGAAATAAAATGTGAAAGATTCAGAACAAGCATTGGACACCTGTAAATCTGTCAAATCTCAATGAAATAAAATGTGAAAGATTCAGAACAAGCATTGGACACCTGTAAATCTGTCAAATCTCAATGAAATAAAATGCACAGCCTGGTCTACAATCTACTGGTGGTCATATCCGACTTTGGTTAAACAAGCGAGATGTGAGCTAGTCGTCAATTATTTTGTTCAGTTTATAATATTTTAAATATAATCTATTTTATCCCGGGAAGAGAAACTTGTGTGCCATTTTCCGGGGGAATAAAAAAACCTTCTCATGGAACATGACAATAAATTTAACCAGGCCAATGAGTTGAAATAAAATAACGTTTGGGGGGAAACTGATGTAGATGAATTCTTTGATCTTCAGTTTTCTCTTCAATTTTTTTAATATCCTCGTGATGTTTCACCACCCAGAATGAATACTTTAGCACCATTTTTTCATGGGTACCACCCGTGACCATATTTCTTTTGAATGTCTTTTCATCCTTTTAATTTTAAATGTGAGTCCTGCTTACTTCTTAATTTATATTTATTAATCTAATTTCACAATTTTTACATGCGTGTCTGCTGTGACATAATATATATTTGAACGCCATTGCACCATTTTACTTTCTAAATACTGTGACAAGATAATGCTTATTGTTCTTGCACTGTTTCACATTGGTACCAGTACAAGGTGTTTCACATTGGTACCAGTGCAAGGTGTTTCACATTGGTACCAGTACAAGGTGTTTCACATTGGTACCAGTGCAAGGTGTTTCACATTGGTACCAGTACAAGGTGTTTCACATTGGTACCAGTGCAAGGTGTTTCACATTGGTACCAGTACAAGGTGTTTCACATTGGTACCAGTGCAAGGTGTTTCACATTGGTACCAGTACAAGGTGTTTCACATTGGTACCAGTGCAAGGTGTTTCACATTGGTACCAGTACAAGGTGTTTCACATTGGTACCAGTGCAAGGTGTTTCACATTGGTACCAGTACAAGGTGTTTCACATTGGTACCAGTGCAAGGTGTTTCACATTGGTANTGTTTCTTTTTTTTTTTTTTTTTTTTTTTAGAAAAGTGATTGTTTGAATACCATCTCTATTAGTTTTATTATATTTTATCTATATTACAATTTGAAAACTACTCAAATCAACCCTGCTTAAGCATGAACAACCTCACTTTTTATGTCAAAGTACATTATCAGTGTTCTGAAAAGAGTCATTTTTTACTGCATTGTTAGTGTGTAATGCAGCATTTAAAGTTTTAAAAAAAAAAAAGAAAGTTATTAAAAAAATCTTGTTACAGTTAAAACTTTCATTCTTTCCTTATTTTGTTTTCTTGTTTAAGTTAAGTAAGTCTTGAACTCGGACAAAAATTATCACAATTCTTTCCTTAACATCTGACTCTTCTGTTACAGTCCCATTGACCTGTTTGCTGATGACAAAGAAACTGAATTATTGCTTAATGAAATCCAGCACTTGGAGGTGGACCAGTTACCTGGTGAAATGTTGTTTATTCCTACAGGCTGGTTTCATCAGGTCAGTCATTAAGTCATCTCGCTTGATTGTTGTACATATGCATACCTGTTTACTCTTTAAGATTTTGGCGTACAATGTACGATTTTGAGGTGTATACATTATATATACTGTATGTTTATTTCTTTACAATAAAGATATGTATTGAAAGATTTTGTGATGATATTCTAAGATTTTAAGAGTTTGAGGGTAAAAAGGTCTGCATATGTTAAAATAAAGGAAAAATTACTAAATTAAATTACAACGCAGCATAAACACAGATGTGACCTTCCAGTTTAATAGTTTAATGAAAGTATTCACTACCTTTCCTAGTACAGAAGTATAGAATAATTATATTGTTCTCAATCTAGATTGACTACCTTTCCTAATACAGAATTATAGAATATTTATATTGTTCTCAATCTAGATTGACTACCTGTCCCCCCAAAAAAAAGTAGAGAATATTTTAATTGTTTTCAATCTAGATTGACTACCTTTCCTTATACAGAAGTATAGAATATTTATATTATTCTTAATCTAGTACACCCAGACTAATGTTACTAAAGTACAGACACAAAATGAGAAAATAAATGATAAATGTGAGGTCTATGATCTAATGTAGGCCTTCAATGTTGAGCCCACTTTAGCCATTTCTGGGCAGCTGATGAATGAGAACAATTTCATGTCTGTGCTGGAAGAGATTCTCAAGGCCGGAAGTCTTCAAAGGTCTGACATTGCTGAAGATTTGGATGGTCTGACTGATGATCCCAAAGCACTGGTATAGTACTTAACTACTTAATACTTGCATTAACATTTATATCAGTGGTTCATAAACTTTTATTTGGAATTGCCCCCCTGCAACCATATTCTTATTCTCACTGCCTCCCTTTGGACAAACATTACAATCTCAGCGTCCCTCTCCCCCCAACCCTTAGTTTTTTTCTTCTTTTGTATTCCATAATTAAACTACAGATATATCAGAATAGGAATTCACACAACTCAGTAAGGGAGGTAATACATTTTAAAAAAAGTGTGACATTTATTTGTGCATATAAAAGTTTTATCCAACCTTTCTTATCTGGCTAACTCATTTGATAGTAGGGTTAGCTTTTCTATGATTATTTTTAACTTTCCAGATTGAACAATCAAACATGAAATGTCACTTGATGCACACAAACTATTTGCATTTTTATGACCAGCCTTGTAGATATATTTGAAAGTGTTTGGCTCTTTACTAAACTCCTTTTAGAATATTATTTTTATATGAAATGCATATTTTTTGTCAAAATTATTAATTTTTGCTACTTGCACAAACTAGTACATTTTATGTTTATGCATGAGCAGAGAACAGACTCCTTCAGCTTTATATTGTAATGTTATGTCATTGACTCCTTCAGTTTTATATTGTAATGTTATGTCATTGACTCCTTCAGTTTTACATTGTAATGTTATGTCATTGACTCCTTCAGTTTTGCATTGTAATGTTATGTCATTGACTCCTTCAGACTTACATTTTAATGTTATGTCATTGACTCCAGATTTATATCATATTATTATTTTCTGTTCCATAGGTGAAACGTCTTATGTTGAGACTACCAAAGCAAGTTTTGATCAGAGGAGCCCAGGAAACACAGAGGGTTTTGGCCAGCATCAAACAGGGACCTTATCTTACAACATAAAAGAAGATCTTAACACTGAATTACATCGGACAGTTAGCAGATCTTAACACTGAATTACATCGGACAGTTAGAAGATCTTAACACTGAATTACATTGGACAGTTAGAAGATCTTAACACTGAATTTCATCGGACAGTTAGTTTTAAAATTTATTTTATTGATCATGCACACTGTACAACTCATAGAGCCTGTTTGTTTGGTAGCAAATAATCAACTTAAATACGTTGAGTTTGAATTACAATTTCTTTACGGTTTATCCAGAAGTGGATGGCAGAGTTGAATACTGAATAAGGTGTTGATCAGATGAACAATGACAGTTTAAGTATTTAACTTTAATGTATTTGTCAGTGTGGTTTTAGCATTATCATGATGTTATTACATTATAATATTATCACATTTATTGTTACTAATATAATCAATAGCATTATGATTTTAACAATAAATAACACAATGTTAAAATTAAATTTACATGTTACTAAATATAATCAATGAAATTGTGATTTTACCAACATCACTTAATTAAATTACAAAAAGGTGGGGCAAATCAATAATATCCACTTCCACATAAAACATTGACACACTTGTTTAGTTTTGTTGTTGACATGGACACTTGGAAACAATACAAGTAAAAGCTTTAAAATAACTCTGTATCACATTTGTATTTTTCTGTTGGGTCCCTCTTAGCAGGGAGCAATCCAACAAGTGCTGCTGCACTAGACAGTTGTCAGTGTCCTGAAACAAATTAGGGCTTGACTTGTAAGGGGCACATCATCGTAAAGATTTAGCTGCATGGGTTCTCTGTGTTTGCACAAAATTTCATTTGCTAACCCTACTGGTTCTATTCTGATTAAATTTCAGTTCAGGGGAAATGGACCCTAAAGATCAATATGCGGCGGGGGGGGAGGGGGGGTATTTTAAATTTATTTTGCAATCTGGGCATATTTCATAACATTACAAAATTATATATCATAATATTGTCTGCCTCATCAAATACATAAGCCTGATGTTAGAAAGATAAGTAAGAATGCATTATTTTACCTTGAAAGGCACATTAGTATCGTAAAAGTATAAACTTAAAAATAATTCTTCAGATAAAATCACATTGATACCATCATGAAATAAATAACATATAAGATTGAAAGTATGAAAGACTTAATGACAAGGACATCACTAAAAATGAGGTTTACTTTAGGACAAAAAAATATGCATTTTTGAAGTTCTCCAATCACCTGAAGACATGTTTAAAGGGCATAAAAAATTGCTTCCATTAAAGAAGATATATTTTGAGATTTAAACATTCTTGGTTTGTGTTACTAGAGAGTCTGCTTTGGATAATGAAATCTGATTTCACTGTCATCAAGTTTCAACAGTTATGGAAATTGCAGCACTGATAATTCAATAATTCATGCCTGGTGGAAAAATTATTTGTGGGTAAAATTTATTGCCATTTACTCTTTGAGTGTACGAAAAATAACCCTGCTGTACAATAAATTAACAAATTATAAATAAATTATTGCAGCTATTTCTTGCTCTTGGAAATGTTCATTTATGTGGTCAGTGCTAAATTCTTTTAGGTTTAGGGGTAAAAAATGCAAATTAAAACAATTATAAACCTTAGTATATTCAGACAAAGGTATTTGAAATTTAAAAAAAATACAGACATTAAAGACATGTATAATGTACACACCATTGATAATATAAAATATACATACTACATGGAGTTATGTAAATTTTAAACAGAATGTTATACTATTTCAGGCAAATGAACTTATTTGCAATTCATTGTTACCATTTTTAAAAAATCTTACTGATTTTTTCCTTGCAATCAAATTTTCAGAAATCAGTTTCAGCACACGCTCAAAATATCATTCTATTGATGAGAATATCAGTAAATTCAGTTTGCGGCATGGTTGACATGTCAGTAGTTAACATTGTGCCAGAGACACCTAGTCATTAAATAATAGATTTCAAAAAAAATTTATCATTGACTACTTTGTTTTCATTTTAAACTCAGACCTGTTTACTCTTACGATTTTGGCGTACATTGTACGATTTTGAGGTGTAAACATTATGTATAATATGTGTGTTTATTTTTTTATGTAAATATAAGGTATTGAATGATTTTGTGATGATGATATTGTACGATTTTAAGAGTTTGAGGGTAAATAGGTCTGTGAACTGCTGACAACTGACCTCTCACAATCTGCACAATCTGAGCTGGAGATTAGTGTTGATCAAAATGAATGTGGCTTAAAGTGTCTGTAAATGAAATAACTATTGAAAGAGTAGTCAGACTACATGAAGAAGCAATTTATCATCTTTCCATAAACAGTGATTATAAATGAACACTCAACAGAAATTTAACATCAAAATATCAAAGCTCTGATCACATAAAGGTAAAAGTATTTTTGAAATGCTGTACCAGTACTACTGGCCAATCAGAAATTAGCAGGTTTTGTATTTACATAAAAATTTTAATATCATTTATCACAATTACCCTGCGCAATACTGCTTGACTTTTGCCACATACTGATTGCTTTGAAAATGTATTAATTTTATTAAACAATTGTCTGAATGTCTTTTGATCATGTCCATAAGAATATGATACTTTTTCTTTGCCCACCAAAGTCATTTCAGGAAATAAAACCATTTCATTAAAATGTTTGCAAACTTAGATTTATATATAATTATAATTTAAAATGTACTTTAATACAATCATGAAGCAATTGTTTAACAAAATTAGTTTTGATCTTCTGTGTGAACAGAGTGTCTGGATACCTTTTACGTTTGTGGTCAAATTGTATAATACTGATTATATTGTCCCACCGAGCTCAACTTACTGGTTTAAAAATTATTGTTTTTCAATCCGTCTTGTCTGTGTGTCATTAGCGACTGCTCATCTTCTTTGTTGAGAGGCCGCTTATCCACCTTTTTTCCTTTCACTGAAGTTTTCCTCTTGCTAGTGGCACTCTCAAAACTTTTTGTGGCCCAGGGACTGCCCTCAAACAATATCACGTCACCACCATCAACCTCGTCAGCAGCACTCTCCTCCTCTGCAAGGTCAGGATTACTCCTGCTGCGACCTGATCGAAACAATCGTCTGAAGAAGCTTGGCTTTTTTGAATGAACCTCTGACTTTTCTTTCTGTTTCAATAATCCACTTGCAGCATCCGCTTGATTGATTTCCTCCCACAAACTGACACCGTCTGTTTTAATGGCATGAGTTTCTAGGTGTCTCCCCAAGTCGACAGACTCTGATATTTCATCAGTGGGTTCCATGATGCTACTTGTATTTTGAGAATTTTCAAGACTCTTCTCAAGGGAGGTGCTTGCTTTAAAAGACGAGATCAAATCTGAAGCAATGGCTTTTATTTTACCTTCATTATGCTGTGGTGAGCTTGAACTATTCAGATGAGATGATGTCAGCAATGGCGTTGAGACAACAGCCAAGTCTCCTCTGCCATGTTCAACTGGCGGGAGGTGTCTCAATCCTCTTGGCCTACTCTGTGTGTAGTCTCCACTAGTTTCTGGGCTGGGGGTATTCATGTCGCTGGCATACACCTGAACCCCAACAGAAACTAAAGTCTTACATTCATTGTGAGTTCTGAGATTAGTCTCTGCGAAACCTGATTCAAGCTTGCCGTCCGTCTGAGCTGACCCATAATACACCAACGTTGGACCCTCCGCATACTCTTTTCTTCTTCTTTCCTGCTCGGCTTGGACTTCCTCCTCGTAGGACAGTGTCCCCCTAAAGCCACCCAGAGATAATGACAAGGACATGATCAGCCTCTGACTCTCTTCATCTTTGGCCCTCCTTTTGGCATCGCTAACAGAATCAACTGTTTCATTACTGCCTGCCGGGGTCATTTTATTTTTGAGCAGACCGTCCACTTCCTCGTTGCCTAAGCCTTGGTAGGCATGTTTGTACGAGCTGAATGCCCAAGGCTGGAGCTCGCCAGAGGCAAACATCAGGTAAAAGGCATAGCAGAAGACCTGCAAGCCAGCACTGATGTAAAACGCTAGCTGCCATTTCTCCCTGGATTTCTGGGTACGGTAAAAACCAAAAATAATTACTGGTTTTTTCTATAGTATAATGAATTCTATACATAATAGATACTGGTAACTCTAAATACAAAAAGCATAATTCGATAATCAGTCCATATAATAGATAAAACATAAATCATGTTTGCTTACATCGTCTGTTATTGTCTCTACTACAATAGGGACAACAATTCCCACCCATACAGCTCCGACCTGAAATTAAACAATACAAATGATACAATTCGGGAATGATTAAAGTATTTAGCGCTGTTATTATAGATAATTATTGATGCATTTAGTGTTGTTATAAGAGATAACCTGGCAACAAGGAGTGTCGACTGACCTCACAGACTCCCACAATGAATCCAGTGTAAGCAGGGGCCAGGTCAACAGGATTGGCCATCCAACTGACATAAGCAAAGCCTAACGCCATGGCTCCTACAAAGTTTAAACCAAAAGCTCCCCCTACAGATCCTTCAGGAAGAAATCCCATGGCTATGAGAATTCCTGCAGGTATCAATTTACCTGTAAATATAAAAATTTCGACAGAATATAACATTGCAAATTTAAAATTACGTTATCTGATCAGAAACACTTCAACAATCCAATAGTTACTGTGGCTGATTCTGTCTGTGTATATGCAAATAGCTTTTGATATGGTCCCACTTTTGGCACAACTCTTCTTGTGCAGTTGGTTCAAGAGATAGGTGAGATATCTCCAGGTAGTAACCCAGACTTTTGTGTTCTGCAGCAGACGTTCTGTTCCTTTGGCGTTGCATGAGGCTTTGTGTACAGTGGAGTGGCAACAAGAGGCTTGATCCTTTGCATTGATTCCCATATGTTTGGGTTTATGCAGAATGCTTTCAATGAGGCTTTCATGGTGTCTTTGCAGCATTTTTTCTGACAGGATATGTACCCAGCGTAAGTGGGGACGGCATTAAAATGGTATAGATGCTGGGAAGATCTGCCTGTGCAAGTGCCTTGGTGCTTGGCACCGTGTCTTGCAATTTGATGTAGGGGGCCCACAGGATTTTTCTGTGCCTCATCCTGTAATATTTGGGTTCAGCTTTCTTGCTAGTGTTTATATCAAGCAAAAGAAGCAGATTAAACAAATTGTTTGGGGGAAGATAGTGATGTTAATTAATTTACAAATCAGGACAGACACAAATAAATGGTAATCATACTAATGACCTTGTTTACAATTCAAAGATTTTATGGAATTTTGTGAATGGATATGATCCTAGTTGTATGACAGGATGATTTGATGGATACAGTAGTGGACTAGAGCGTCCAAACGGCCGGGGACAAAAATTTGTACGTAAATATTTAAAAGACAAGTTTTGTTATAATGTAGAGTCACCCCAAATATCACGGGCCATGGCTGCCCGCCAGGATTTGTCCAGGTGACCCAGTCCACCCCTGGATGGATATGATGATAAAGTGACAGTGTAGTAGTATGACAGGGTGATGGAAATGATGGGTGAGTGAGGGGGGGGAGGAATGATTGTAGAAAGGATTGGATGAGAGACTGATATGGTAAAAGTGCGACAAGGTATATTATTATTTCTTAATTTTGAAAACATCTTGATACTATAAACTTACAGAAGCCATCATTGACTTTTCTGACTGTTGTATTGGAGACCACTCCCCTGGTCACCACCCTGTCACTCAGATAGCCAGACAAGTATATGGTAGGGATGATTCCCAGAAACGGAAGTCCAGATATAATGTTGATCTATTTGTCACAAAAATTGATGAAAATTGCATTAAAGAATAACATTAGATTTCTGTCTTGTTATTTTGTAATACTTGTTTTGTTTTTTTTAAAATGTAGATGACCTCTTGACCCCCATCCTCTCACCCACATTTTTATTCTTACAATCAGCCATCAATCATAAATTTGTTCACCTCAAGACTGGACAACCTGATGACATCCTTTAAGTAGGTGGGTGAAACTGTAACAATGAAATAGTACATCCAATCAGAACCAATCTGAGACACAACAATAGCCCACACAGGTGCAGATTTGAGAATCTCTTTCACAGGTATTGAGGTCTTAAATTTCAGGACGAAATCAAATATAAAATTAATTGTCAATTCCAAATTATGAAGATTTTTTAAATAAATATTTTATATTAATAAGAGATACTAATTAATTTTACTATTAAAAAAAATTCAAATTCTATTTTAATAGCAGTACTGGTACGGGTAATGTGTCAATAATAAGTTAAAGAGATGTTTGGAACAAGCTTTGGAATGCACATAAAGTTTAAGACAAATAAAAATTATAGGTTCTGTTTCTTTTGCAAAATCTATGGAAAAAATATTTTAGGCACTACAAGTTTTATACTCTTTTTGTGTTTATAAATTTCCTTTTTTTTACAGTTGTTCTTGAATTTTGTTTTTGAATTTTGTAGCTTTACTTATATCTGAATTTAATAAATGGTTAAAAAACCAACTACAGATTAGTATAATTAAAAAATATACAAATAAGTTTAATATTTGACAGTAAAATAATTACATCAACCTCCAGGCTTAAATATTGTGTTGTTTTCTTTATTGAATTTTATTATTTACCAATTCAGTTCTATAAATATCCTTTTATGTTCATCTTTGATGCTGCAGTAAAATAAATTTGAACACTTTTGTATATTTGTGTAAAACCTAACTCACCAAGGCTGCTGCAGACTTCTCCTCAACCTTAGGGATGGACTGGGCAATAAATTTCACCTCCTTATCGGACATTAAGGTGTTCTCAAATGGTGAATCAGACACAAAAATAATGAATGCTGCAGCAATCAAGAGTCCAATACCAGCTGTATAAGATAATTGGGATAATTCAGAAATAAATAAAAAAATTCAAAATAGAGGAATTAATTTCTATACCCGGTCCTTCATTCTCATTTTAGAACTTTACCCACAGCAGGTTATTTGAACTTATTGCTTTTATTCTCATACCAACAATAGGAATATCTGTGCATCCTCTAAGAAACATTCATGTCAACACTAACAGGTTAAACTAATAAATCTCCTGATTAAAAAAAAACATTTAAATACCGGGTAGTTTATTAAATTTTTGTTATTAACTGCCATTGTATTGCTTATATACCCACACACTAACATAATTTTTAGTTTTTATTTACTGTTTAAGACTATAAAAGTTATTAGTAAGTTTAACATTTTAAAAACAGAAATTGAAATTAAAATTAATAAACTATTAATCAGTGTTACATCATCATCCTCAATTCTGACATTGAAGTTCAATGACAAGCTCAGTTATAAGTTACTTACAAAGAGTATAGAAAACAAAGGGCCATCCTCCCTGTATAGGAATTTCACATGAAAATAATGAGACACCAAATGCACACATGTCACCCAATTCCATACCTGGACAAAAAATGTAAAATCTTGTTAATTTTTAAAAGGAAATGTATGTTTAATAAAGAAGAACAAGGACTGACATTTTAGATGTATATAGATATATCCTAGCTGGTGATTTATGCTGAAAGCAGGTATTAAATTTTTTTTTCTTCTAGTATCAGAGCAGGAATTTTATCCTTTTTTTTTCCCTAGTAGCTGGTATTTTATCATTTTTCTCCTAAAACTAGGGAAAAGTAGCAGGTATTTTATCATTTTTTCTCCTAAAACTAGGGAAAAGTAGCAGGTATTTTTTGGAAACATCAACAACTTCAATGATATTCCATGTTGATTAAACCTTACCCATTCCAACAATCCCAAATAAAAGACTTGTCTCGTGTCGTGGAGTCCACTGACCAACCAGTGCAAAAGTTGGAGCATACAAAAAACCCTGTAGTGTACATATATAAGTACATGTATTAATAATTGTTAATACAAAAAAAAATTGATTTTTAACAAAAAATTGTATGAATATTTGCAGTTTTTATTTTGAAAATCTAACTAAAGATATATTTATAAAAATACTTTTTTTTATTAAACTGAATCTTTTTTAAAAACTAGCCTATATTATACATTCTGTGACCACAAACAAATAAAAAAGAACTTTGTCTACCTTACAAAATACAAATAGCATTCAGATAAATCTTAGCATAGTACTTATCACATTGAAATTGAAGCAGTTTTCACTGATAAGCTTACATCAATAATCCCCACCAATATTCTGTCAGCATACAACCAGCCAGCACCGTAATATGCAGCAGGCACTGTCAACAGCTGGAAGACAGATGTTAAGATCAAACCAATCACAACCACTTTTTTGGCACCATATCTAAAATAAAACAAAACGTGTGTCATTGTGGAGAAATATTGGATGACCTTAAAAATAAAAAAAAAAGTCCTTGCATTTTAAAATATTTTCGTTATATTTTAAAGACAGACACCACTTCATGGCATTATTTCAAGTCTACATTACTACATTAGTTTTAGGCCTAATCTTTCATTTACTACATTTTTTGTTAGACCAAATTATCTTTCATACAAAGCCATATAAGTATAATTAAGTGAATAAAGTATGCAGAACATGGGCTTGTTAGGCTATTTTTTATACTTAAAAAAAAATTGAAGTATATAAAACCCCGTTGACATTTAAAAACTTATTGCTATCCCTTGACAATGATCAACATGGTACTACCACATTCATCCTGATAGTGACACACTCAGATTAAATCATTAAAAGTTATAGAGTCTCTAGTTGTTAATGAAGCGTAATACATTTATTATTATTTTTTTTTTTTTTGAATTGTCCGTGTCACAGACCAACCTGGCAGCTGCGATACCGGAAGGAAGTTGAGACACATAGTAACCAACAAAAAAGGAAGACAGCGCCCAACCTTGTGTTGTCTTGTCCCAATTAAACTTCCATTTCTAAGAAATTCGAGGGAAACAAATAAAATCAATTAAAACGATTTTTTGAAGTCATGAATAAGTCAAAAAATTGGTTTAGCCATCATCACTGAAAAAAAAAAATTAGCCTTTGCAAACGCGTAGCTGGGGTGATGGAGGAGAGTCAAGATTATTTCAACCATTAAAAAAATTTAAAAATAGGCCTATTAATGAAAAAAACGTAGACTATGTGTTCCTAAACATATACAGCTTTTTTTTTTTTTTTTACAGCATTAAGATATTCATCTGTTTTGCAAACGCGTAGCTGGGGTGATGGAGGAGAGTCAAGATTATTTCAACCATTAAAAAAATTTAAAAATAGGCCTATTAATGAAAAAAACGTAGACCATGTGTTCCTAAACATATACAGCTTTTTTTTTTTTTTTACAGCATTAAGATATTCATCTGTCTTGTCTGCTGAAGAAGGAGTTTAGAAACAAAAAGTCATTTTAATTGTCCTGTCTTTTCATTGCAAGCCTAAACATATCTTGTTCCACTATTTCGTTTACACGGATTGAAGGATTGAACGCAGTCCCCATATAATCTAATATTCTGAAAACCGATAATCAGTAAGGCAGAAAACCTATATTAATAACTGACACTGACTCTTGGCAACACTTACGTCATCAGTGACATTGGACGAGGTCAGATTTGTGTATGTAAACACGGCGTCCAGCGCCGTCCAGTTTGAACTGTTGTCCACTTGCAGGGCGGGCAAAGGATCTTCTATCATGCACACCATTGCTGAACTCATGCTGGCCTGGGCAGCAAAGGTTATCGTCATGGAGAATGTGCAGCAGATGATGACGCCAAGACGGTAGGAACACAGCAGAGAAACTGTTGATACACATTTTATGTTTGGGTGTCGTATTGTGATATGAGGGGGGTTGATGAAGGTAAGTGGTTCTCAATATTCTTTTAGCCATCGACCCCATAATGTAATCCCTTGTGAACCCTGAATGAAGCCAGTCGAAACAAGATCAAGATCGTATTTTGTTCGACCATATAGGAAAAAAAAACATATAAAAGAATACTGCTCAAGATAAAAAAATGGACTTTTCCACTGCTCTAGCATTAAAGAGAAACTCGTCCCTTTCCCCCTAGACAGCGACGTGGCCATGACAGGCAGTTCCGGCTCATAACAGCAAGAAGCCAGTAAAGAAACTGCACATTCCTACCAAAGACAACCAGGGACTGGAACAAGCTTCCAAAAAGAAACAGTTGAGGCGACTACACTTGACACTTGCGTTTGTTGCCTCCTGCCTTCCAACGATCCCCCCCCCCCTCCAGTTCCTGATACCCTCGCTGAGTGGCCCTTTCAACTAGTGAAATATCCTCATCAACACCAGGCACAGGAACTTTGCGAACCCCCTCTACAAACATAGGAGCCAGAATGACCAATACATTGATCGTGGGCCCTTAAGATATAGAATAGGAAGAATACCAATTAACATAAGATTGAGTCTTATTTAAATACAGAAGTAGCTTTTCACTTGATTAATCCAGTAATAAATTGATTAAATTCACCCATCGAAACCATATTCTTGTTCATGGGCAAAATTATTATTTCAAAAAGTGACAGAAGAGTTTTTTTTCTTACATTGAAATTAATGAAAAGCATAAAAAAAAGGAAGAGGGTGTTTTCGGAACGGTTAACAAAACTGTGAATGATTTGGTCCTGGATTTAGCTCAACTCGCCAGTGTGGAGTTTACGAAACGAGGGGTTAAACACATTTAACCAAGAGATGGACAAAACAATACCCCTGGCATCCTATACTCATACGCTGCCCCAACCACCAACAACGGATGTGTTTGTAGGTCACTGAAGTTTGACTCTTCCATAAAACAGGTCGTGTCGTCTTGTGTTAACATCATTAGAGGCCTTGCACTATAACACAGAAATATTTTAGACTTTTCTGTTTCAGCTAAAAGTTACCTATGAAGATATTCTGTAACTCACAGAAGTCCGTTCACTCAGCCGAAGGAGGAAATTTGAAAAGCTTTTATGACTCATTTCCTCAGGTTTCTGATTTCATAAAAAAAAAACAAAAAAAAAAGTACCTGACCTCAAAACGCAGAATTGGAATTGTACCCTGCGTTTCTGACAGAGCTACTCATCGGCTTCAATGTGCTATATTATAACATGATATACAGTTATAATATGTTGTAAAGTAATAATATATTGTACAGTTATAACACCGTTTTTTTTAAATTAAGCCCAAGCTCACCCTCGTTTACGTCATCGTAGTCCTTTCTCTGTTTGTCTCCCTTCCTGTGTTTCTTATAGTTCGGGTGTCGGAAGCTGCTGCCACTGGTCACCAACTGGGTCCTCTCGTCTGCCATGATGTCTTTCTACGACTGACCAGTCCAGGAGCAGGGGCTTGCACGTGTGAAACGGATTAATCTGGAAGACGGGCTCCGACTTGTGACGTCAGCACGATTATTTGAATGCACAAGACTTCAAAGCTGAAAGAAATGACACAGGAGACATTCTTGTGATGACACCGGACGAGGGTTTCTCTCCCGGGGATCTTAGGATACCGGGATCCTGCACGATTTTTAGTAAAGAAGAGAGTACCCAGGAAATATTCCCGTCCCGGTAATATCCCGGGCATACTTTTAGAATTTAATTTTCTCATTTAAAAAAAAAAAAATGTCAGGAAGCCACAGATTGGTCAGACATTGTCGCTCTAAGCCAGGACCTGAATAAACTAGTTAAAGGCGGCGAAGTATTAAGCTAATAAAGATCAATACTCGGAGGTCGAGATTCTATCTCTTAGGACCTTGGCCGTGACACATGGCCTAGTAGTCCCTGGGGACTCCGGCCATACAACTCGGCCCTGAGTAAACGGGGTTTAGGGCAGGTTGCTTCAAGCTCAGTAGCTCTAGTTCTCGTATTATTATGCTTTTTCAAGTCACGACCGCTTTTCTATACAAGCAAAGTGACCCCCTACCGCGATGTGTTAAAATAAAGGATTTTACTTAGGACAAATACTTGTAATAGAAAGCGTATCAAAAACATATTTTAAAGTGTTATATTAATGACATATTTCATGACATATTTGATTAACATATTACATGACTTATCTGAAGCCATGATTGAATTTGTTGCTCAAACTACAAGACACACATTAAATAAGAAAGTTAATTAAAATTTAAATTTTATCTTCAGTGTATTTTTTTTTCAGACGGAACCTCAAAATATTTTTTTAAAAAAAATACCATCGCAAGCCCATAAGAGGTTACGTCTCATGGGCTTGTAACTTGTACTGTAGTCATTTATAACAGTTATAATACCAGTGTGGATAACAGTATCTAAAAAGAAAATAATAATTTTAAAGAAAAAGACATTTCATCTTTAAAAATAGACAGATTTTTTTTTTTTCCTTTTTCCAAAAATACATTTCAGGGGCCGTAAAGAAATATGGGTTAAGATTTTCTTTAAAAAGAAGATTATTATTTCTTAATTTTCATTCTGCGCAAAGTACAGTTTGGGGGCATGGGCCATTTTTTTAAAAATGAGATTAAGAATAGATCTTTAAAAATACAGTAACCTTCAGACGTGAAAATGGGATAAGAGGTTCGACCTTGAATTGAAGGATTCGGTTTTCAACGATTTCCGGATAACATAGCGCAGGAGCTAGAAAGAGGTTGGGTACTTTTTTTTTAATGTCACTATATATAGTACATTGACGTGAAAATTGGTTGGCTTGGCCTATTTTATACAAAAGGGAAAATTATCAAGAGCAAATGATGTGACAAAGGTAAATATTCATACATAGGTTTGTCTTTAAAAATAAGGAAGGTCTAATTTTATTATTTCCTACATAATTTATTTTGAAGTTGCGTTGAAATTTATTTTTTTTATATTTTGATACAGTATTTAAAGAGTTGATTCAGTTATTAGTAAAAATAGGATTTTTAGATGTTTGAGACTTTGCAAGAAAATTTGGAGATTAGTGCAATATGCCTTCCATTTATATATGCCATTATTATCTCGTTAACACCGGGTTGTATGTTCTAGTATTTAAAAGTATGATAAATAATTCATTACGTCAGTGTTTAATCGTCATTCATTTCATTTTAAAAAAGAAAACTATAAAAATTCTTGCATGGAACTTAGTTTTTCACAGTTGCGGTAACGGGGTGGGGGGGGGGGGGTTTCGTCCCACACATGCGCACAGGTCAGTGTGAGGAAGCGGGCCCACATTATTTAGAAGCACTGCCGCTCCAACAGTTCCAATCGACTGCCTGCGCCAGGAATGATGTGTTTACGTTACGCATCAGTGTATGACCACTGTGGTGTGTCAAAATAAGAATATTTGAATGTGATCAACTGTAGAGGAAAATTGCAATATTCTATTTCAATACACATACAATCATATGCCACCAACCCCAGTGATGCCTCAGGGCACAGTGTCACATTTCTTCTATTATACGGGGTCACGGCGTGAAAAAGGTGTGAGGCATATATGCCAGAGCCCATGAGCTTGATAACATAACGCAAATAAGAACGATTTTATAGGTTCTTTATTGACATGATACAATTTAAAAAAAAAAAAAAACAACAAGAAAATTTAAAACTCTTTTTCTTCTCCTAAGTCTTTCATATTTTCCCTTTCACAAATACATTTTATATTTACTGCAATGTCTTTTGTCGAGGGAGCAAAGCCGTAAAAAAACCTTTTCATAGTGGATAAACTGTATTAATTTTCGTGAATTTTCAGCACCAACAAGTAGTGTGAGGGACGGGAAAACTGATTTTCGGGGGTTGCGAGTAAGGAACGGGGCTAAACATTTGATAGAATGTGTTGTTATCGGAAACCAGTCTATATAAGTTCCCAGTATCGCAGCTCAATATGAAGATAGGAAGTGGGTCAATTAGCCTCCAAAAAATCTCCACACACGAACTAAAATGAGCTTAAGAAAGAGGATTCTAAAAGCACTAAATATTCTAAATTATTACCCGGGATTTCCTGTGACGGGAGAATTTTCTGGAGAATGATTTAACATCCAAAAAATTCATCGGCATCCCGGGCACCGGGAACTTAGGTTACGGGAAATTTGTTTGAAAGAAATTTCGTCGACGGAAAAATCGAACGACGGAAATTTGATCGGACGGAAATTTCCGTCGTTCAATTTTCAGTCGACGAAAAAATTAACTTTCAAACCAATTTCCGGAAACGGGGATCTTAGGTTTTAAATCTAGTCTTAAATTATCTCGTAAAACCGAGTAATATTTTGGGATATACGAGTCATAAGCTAGCATATCAGAATTGCATAGTCAATGGCTTTTGATCCCGCCATGAAATTGTTTTATACACAACCGTATTGTATGGCAAATATTGCCACCACTCAATAACACTTAACGTTGTTACAGATACGAAGATGCTAACTGCATGGTTCTAAAAAAAAGTTATCCACTATTGCTCCATGTATTCTTATAGACATCTACGTTTTTATAACTATATTATTTGAATTGTACTTAGTCGGGGTAGAAACTAGGCATAAATCTGTTCTTACATTTGGGGAGTTAGGGTGGGCTCCCGGGGGGGTGGGGGGGGGGCGGGGGGGGGGGGGGGGGGGGGGGGCGGTTGCCCCATTTTCTCGTTATTCATGAACGCTCCGAGAACACACAAAACATAAACCATATCATGGTTTATGGTCTGCACCATGTAAGGATTGAGAACGGCTGATGTATGCCAGCGTTGGTCCCAGATAAGAAAGGATTCCACTTCATCTAACCACGTGATTTTTAATTTTTTTTTTTTTAATTAAAGGATCAAGGTAAACAACGAGTGACGTCACATGACCCGATTTATCAGATCGTGTTACAAGACCGTTGAAAGCCCTCGTGCTCGTGTGTCTACGCATCAAAAACCTGGGGAAATAACTGTTGACGGGATCTCATTCTGTATTAGACGTAATCGTCTCTGACAGTGTTTCCCAAAAGTGTGGTACGCGTACCCCTTGGGGGTACCTGAAGAGTTTGGTGGGGATATGCGCCGCAAAAGGAAAAAAAACACATTTTTTTTATTGTTATTTAAGTATATGCAATTTTTTTTAAACAAGGGGGTACTCAATGTTACGAAAATTATAAACGGTTGAGCCAAGTGCAACCCTTTCTCCGGGTAAGATTAATAATCAAACAATATTCGCCTGCTGTGTATTATTAGCCGGGTCCGGGTATAGTCCGGGTGTGTAATTCTTCGGTATTTCCGGGATGCCCGGGTCAGCACATGGCTCAGCCCTAGTCTCTGGCCGAGTGAGGTGATGACCCGTCCTTGTGTTCCGTCCTCTTATGTCGACTACATCTAGCTTGAATACCACGAAACAAACCTCACCAGGGAACACGATCAGTGGCGACGCTACACCAGGTCCCGCCGGTCCCAGGACCTGGTAAAAAAAAACTTGGGACCTGGCAAATGACCTGGTCAATTTTTATTAGTAACTAATATTGTAGATGTGCTCATTAAGCGTAAACTGCATTACATGTAAGAGAACTTCCATGTTAAATGCCTTTATATGTTTACATTTTTATCGACATCAAAAGTCAATATAACGTCATAAAATGTAATATATATAAAATTTAAGTTTTTAACTTGTAAGAGGCCATCCATATATTACGTACGCAAAAAATATCACAAATTTCGACGCCCATCCCCCCTGTTCAATGGCGTACTTTTTCAGTGCCCCCCCCCCCCCCATAGCTTACGTACTGACACTCAAGTTTTATTTTCTATATATATATTTGATATATATATATATATATTTGATATATATATATATGATATATATATATATATATTTATATTGATTTATGTACCTATTTTTATACTTTTTACTTCATAAATAAATTTTATTTTTAATACATTTATTTGGGACCCGCTAAATTTTTTTAACACCTGCAAGGGACCCGCCATGTTAAATTTGATGGCGTCGCCACTGAACACGATCACAGTCATATTCAGCTGTGTTAACTTTGGCACTCAATTACAGAGAGATTAGTCAGGAAGCAGTAAGCAGAGGGTTACTTGATTCTAATTTTAAAAAAAAATGTTTGGCAATGTGAGGTTGGCAAAAAAGTTATATTACCCATAAGAGTGTACACCCTTAACAAAGGGGGGGGGGGAGATACCCTTGATAGGTATGTACCCGGCAACAAACAATTGCTAGACTAGAGACTGACCGAATTACGAATTCGGTTTGGGCGCTGAAAGTTGCCATTTGATCACTTTCGACCTAATTTCGCTTTCGGTCGAATCAGATAAGGAAACTTTCGGTTTTATTTCGGTTTCGGCTGAAAGTGATTGAGACTTTCGGACGTTTACCAGAAGTCGGACTATCTGTCTTTAGGCCGGCAATCCGATATTCATTATTGCTCGCCGTTTTGCTGTCATCGAATGTTGTATGACTACTCCTCGGCGAGAACAGCTGCATGATGACCGACTTGTTATATATGTCAAAATTAATTTTCAAGTAGGCTCAAGCAAACGTAATAGGTTTGTGGAAACACAAATAAGGGAATGGTAATATTTATATTGTTAATTTAGTTTTATTTTTTTTCAAATTAATTGCTCTGTACTGTGCCCCCTACCCCCTCAAAAAAAAAAAAGCCTGAAATGACGGTCCTGCCAGGGAATGTAAATTATATCCATTATTATAATTTTTAAACAATTAATTAAAATCAGGGAACTTTAGGCTTATTCAAATCATGAATTTATTGAAATGTATCACATTGTCATTGACGAAATAACAAAAGTGTGCATGTATCACTGGTTTGTATTATAAATATGTAGTAAGCTTACTGCAGACCTGTTTACTTTTATGATTTTGGCAACTAATGTAAGATTTTGAGATGTCTTTTACGTTTCTACGCCGAGAAACTTCAGTACTACGATTTTAAGAGACCTGGTGAAAAAAATACCCCCCCCCCCCCGGCCAACCCAAGACCGTGGGGAAGGTTGGGCGTCCCCCCCCCCCCCTAAACCCAATAATTACGTAGCCAGCACGGAAAGCCTAGTGTATGGTAGAGGGTTAGCTAGCCAGCTTTTTATGAAAACACGAAGTATGACGATAACCGCGAAACATAGTGGTGATATTTTTATATCACCAATAACAGATTTTTAAAGGACATTTGGCTCTGTTAGAGATTGTCAGGTGAATTGTAAAATGTATAGATACGTGTAGGTAAATTCTGGTGCCCCCCACCCCACGCTGTCAAATGATTCCCCAGTGCGTACGTAATATATGTAACGCCTCTTAAGTTGGCAGGGTGGGGGGAGAAGGGTGTGAAAATATGTTGTTGTTTTTTTGCGTACGTTAGATATGGATGTCCCATTGTCTAATCAACTTTATATATGAATGTCCCATTGTCTAATCAACTTTATATATCGATGGCCCAATATCTAATCAACTTTATATATCGATGGCCCATTATTGTCCAATCAACTTTATATATCGATGTCCCATTGTCTAATCAACTTTATATATGGATGTCCCATTGTCTAATCAACTTTATATATGGATGACTCATTGTCTAATCAACGTTATATATGGATGACTCATTGTCTAATTAACGTTATATATGGATGACTCATTGTCAAATCAACTTTATATATGGATGTCCCATTGTCTAATAAACTTTATATATGGATGTCCTATTGTCTAATCAACGTTATATATGGATGTCCCATTGTCTAATCAACTTTATATATGGATGTCCCATTGTCTAATCAACTTTATATATGGATGTCCCATTGTCTAATCAACTTTATATATGGTTGTCACATTGTCTAATCAACTTTATAGTTGGATGTCCCATTGTTTAATCAATTTTATATATGGATCTCCCATTGTCTAATCAACTTTATATATGGATGTCCCATTGTCTAATCAACTTTATAAATGGATGTCCCATTGTCTAATCCACTTTATATATGGATGTCCCATTGTCTAATCAACTTTATATATGGATGTCCAATTGTCTAATCAACTTATCATATGGATGCCCCATTGTCTAATCGACTTTATATATGGATATCCCATTGTCTAATCAACTTTATATATGGATGTCCCTTGTCTAATCAACTTTATATATGGATGTCCCATTGTCTAATCAACTTTATATATGGATGTCCCATTGTCTAATAAACTTTATATATGGATGTCCTATTGTCTAATCAACGTTATATATGGATGTCCCATTGTCTAATCAACTTTATATATGGATGTCCCATTGTCTAATCAACTTTATATATAAATGTCCCATTGTCTAATCAACGTTATATATGGATATCCCATTGTCTAATACTCTTTATATATGGATGTCCCTTTGTCTAATCAACGTTATATATGGATGACTCATTGTCAAATCAACTTTATATATGGATGTCCCATTGTCTAATAAACTTTATATATGGATGTCCTATTGTCTAATCAACGTTATATATTGATGTCCCATTGTCTAATCAACTTTATATATGGATGTCCCATTGTCTAATCAACTTTATATATGGATGTCCCATTGTCTAATCAACTTTATATTTGGATGTCCCATTGTCTAATCAATTTTATATATGGATGTCCTATTGTCTAATCAACTTTATATATGGATGTCCTATTGTCTAATCAACTTTACATATCGATGGCCCATTGTCTAGTCAACTTTATATAGGGATGTACCATTGTCTAATCAACTTTATATATGGATGTCCCATTGTCTAATCAACTTTATATATGGATGTCACATTGTCTAATCAACTTTATATATGGATGTCCCATTGTCTAATCAACTTTATATATGGATGTCCCATAGTCTAATCAACTTTATATATGGATGTCCCATTGTCTAATCAACTTTATATATGGATGTCCCATTGTCTAATCAACTTTATATATGGATGTCCCATTGTCTAATCAACTTTATATATGGATGTCCCATTGTCTAATCAACTTTATATATGGATGTCCTATTGTCTAATCAACCTTATATATGGATGTCCTATTGTCATATTAACTTTATATATGGATGTCCCATTGTCATATCAACATTAAATATGGATGTCCCATTTCTGAGTGCTATTCTGAGACTACATTTTACTAAATTGGGAGCTCCAGGTCTGCTACTGTATCATCATACAATGCTTAACTCAAAAATTCCTTCTACTTTTGTTTGACCAAAAATTAAACTAGCCGATAAATAATAATTATTGCGGATAAACTAATAATTTTAATGTTGACCAATGAGAATAAATAGTTCCTTCAAGACTTATGTCTGAACATTTTAGTGTACCATACCAATAAAATACGCAAAGGCTAAGCTTTCGAACCTATACCAAATGTGTCTAGGTAGCGTTATAATTATATTGCATGAATTTAGCTCCCCAAAAAATTTTTTTTTTCTCTTATCTAACTACTTTAAAATGGTAAGAGCCAAAGTATTGAGTTGATGCGTATCTTTTAAAACTCACGAAGATCTTATTTAAAAAAAAATAAAATAAACATTTGATACGTTCCCTCATTTTTTGATGTATGAAGAACGTGTGCATGGACGAATTTTAAAATATCTAATTTTTTTCGTTTTCGGTTTCGGCCGAAAGTGTGGTTAAGCTTTTGGTTTCGGCTTGGGCCGAAAGTCTCGTTAAGCCTTGTGCTTCGGTTTCGGCTGAAAATTATTTTTAACTTTCGGTCTGGTTTCGGTTTCGGCCGATATCAGCAAATCCCTTTCGGTCGGTCTCTATCCTACACAAATTGATCTCAGTGTGGCAGGCCAGAGCATACCCCTGTCCAGACTAGGCTCGGGCTATTATGGCCTAGGCACGAGAAACCCCGTGTGTTAAAGTGTTCTAGGGCCAAACTATACCCAGGGGTGAACACATCCTAGGACAGACTTATACCCCAGGCAAGATTAATACCACTTTTCCTGGTATCAGTAGTGCACTGTAATAAAGACATGAATTGCTCCATATTTCGATATTTTTTTGAGCGTTCAGCTTTATCAGGTGAGTAAAGTGACCAAGTTGTCTGAACTCAAACTCTAAACCTAAAGACTTTTAAAACTTAACCAGAAAAAATTTCCCTCACGAAGATCAAAGTAAAGTTTACACATTGAGATGAAAGGATACAGCCCAGACATTTTAATGAAATTTTAACATAAAGATAATATATTCGGCTGTTCATAATAGGATAATAGCGTTCTGAAGCTACAACTTATAAAACAAACAAGTCCTCGCTACACAATACAAAATTAAACACTGATAACAACTTCACAATGTGAGTGCTGGGTCTTAAGATAAGGTACATGTTCTGGTGTTGACAACGGGTTGAAAGCTAGCGAGATAGGTCAACAACTCCATTGTGTCATTGACTTTGTCGGAATGACGATATCCCAACTCAACAGAATCGCTTCTTTGAGTAACAATCTTGTCTCTTTTCAGTTGCCCATTTATGTGTGGGGGGTAGGCAGATGCAATGTGGGGATCTGTTTGTGGGGGGTAGGCAGATGCAATGTGGGGATCTGTTTGTGGGAGGTAGGCAGATGCAATGAGGAAATCTGTTTGGAAATGATCCACCAGGTTGTCGATGATCGAGTTTACAAAGCCTCGTCCATGATCACTGATCAAGTGTCCATACTTCCAAGGTGACAAATAAAGGAATACACAAAATATTTAATATTTGCTACTGACTCGGCACTCTTATCTGGATCAGTTGGTCATACGATTGGTCATACAATTGGTCATACAGTTGGTCATACAATTGGTCATACAGTTGGTCTTCCATGGTTTTCAAATTTTACGCCGTATAATTTTATGAGAAATAATGTGTTCTTTAAGCTGCGAAATACAATGAGATGACATGAGCAAGTCTGACGATGATGTCCTACAACGTTGCCTCCACTGCTCTTCTCCCCCCCCCCTTTTCTTTTTATGAGTAAGGTAGATAAAAAGTGAAAAGCACAGAGTTAAAAAAAATGAAAGGCTTTTAAAAAAAAAACGGGGTTGGGGAATCCTTTGAATATAAATAAGACGCTGTGTGGCTCACCATAGAATGTGATGTAATGAAAACAGCTGATACCAGCAAAAGTGTTACAGTAACAATTGAGCTGATATCTGCTGATTATTTGTATAATCACAACCAGGTCGAGGAGATATACATTTCCACATTTTGAAAAAAACACAAAAATAAACTTAAATATACCGGTAATCATAATCAATTTTATTTGTTTACTTGTTATTTCTGTAAAAGGGCCTTTTTTGAAAATAAATATAATCGCTTACCTCCGCGCCAAAACCTGGCCATGTTATGACTCCGGCTACATTCATTAATGTACGACACATTGTTTGAATACCACTAGATGGGGATAGTCTGACCTGGAGGGGTATAGTCTGACCTGGAGGGGTATAGTCTGACCTGGAGGGGTATAGTCTGACCTGGAGGGGTTTAGTTGGGCCTCGGGGGGTATAGTCTGGTCTAAAGGGGTGTGGAAAGGCAGGGTTAGTCGGGTTAAGAGGGGATATTCTGACCTGGAAGGGTATTGTCTTTCATCAGTGATGTAAGATTTAAGTTAGTCAACTTTGTCACTTTAAACTTACCTGACTAAGCTGAAACCCAATTAGATGTAGAAGTTTTAATTCATGTGTTTGTCACTGCACACTACTGACATCGGGGGGAGGGGGCTATAATGTGGGCTGGGGGTATAATCTGGGGCGGGGGGCAACGCCGGCCTTAGGTAAACATGCGCCCTGTACGGCTCCGGTCTTTATCCGATTATGACGTAGGCTGTGGAGCATGTGTTACGAGGCTATGCATGTAGCTAACCATACTATGGAGCACGTGCTGGCACATGTAGCTAACCATACTATGGAGCACGTGCTGGCACATGTAGCTAACCATACTATGGAGCACGTGTTATGAAGCTATACATGTAGCAAATTATGCGCATTTTAAAGCGCACATTAATTTAGATTGTTCAGTTTTTCTACAGTACTTCAAACTTCACTATAATAAACTAAGGGAATTAAAATTTTACTGTGCGCCCCAGGCGTCCCTATGGCTACGGCGCCCTGTTCGAGGGCACAGGTTACACACCCCAAAGGCCGGCGTTGCTGGGGGTATAGACTGTTGGTATAATCTTGGGGGTATACTATGGCCCAAGCCTGACTAACTTTGGACATGGGTATGCTCCGGCTGTACACAAACAATAGACTGTTGTCGGTGTGTGTGTGTGATCTGTCATGATCCCCCTGTCTAGACTGACCACATGAACACAAAATGGATCAACAGAATACAGTGGATCAGTTGGTGTTGTAACTCACTGACCTAAGCACATACAGGCGACGATTGCGTGTTTAAAATCGCTGACGCATACGTCAATTCCTTTAACAAAATGAAGACTCGGTAAGATAATATTTTAAAAATGTGTGTTGGCCAGGTTCTACGCACTTATGACTTATGTTAAAGATACTTGTATCAGTCAGCAAATGACATATGTTAGTGGATTCAGCTAGCCAAATGTCAAACTTCCCACTATAAAAAAATTGAGCTTGTAAAAGTCCTTAATGAAATGAATGTCTGACTGGCCGACAGAGTTAGAAATGGGGCCAATGGGATGTGCAGGAAACAGGAAACCTCCCTACCTGTCAAAATCAAGTTCCAGTCACACTTGAACACGTGAGTCAAACTTGGAGCACGAGAGTCACACTTGAACACGTGGGTCCCGTATGGACATGTGACGCCTAAAAACCATAACATGAAACTAGAACTTCTAGCCTTGCGATACAAGAGCAAGTTGGGGTAAGCTAATCTATGACATTGCGCCACTGTGGACGGCGTCTTTGCTGTGTCATGATGACAGTTTTCCACTAACAAAGTTGACGTGCTAAACCATCAACAGCTGACAGTTATGGCGTTCTCAAGACACGACATGCACATTTACCAACTGTCTAACGCCCGTATTTTTATTGACCAGTGCACTTTATGCTACTGATCAGCACAGGTTATATCACTGACCAGCATATGTTATAGCACTTACCAGCATAGGTTATAGCACTTACCAGCATAGGTTAAATCCCCACCAAAGCCAACATCTCAAGTACTCCGGGTGGATGGGACTCGTTAGCCTTGGACGGCAACCCATCTAAGAGAAGGCAAACTCTGAATTTAAACCAGGAGCCAGTATGATCAACAAATTGATCGAGGGCCCCTCAAATATAAGAAGAAGAAGAGTACACTCTCTTCAATAAATGAAAGTCGGTTCAACCATAATAGTTTCCTGACACCCATTGTCTTGATTAGTAGAATACATGGGCGCCCGCAGGTAGGGGCAAGGCGTGGCACTTGCTCCCCCCCCCCGGATTGATTGGATAAAATAAAGATAAAGGAACTAAGCTGATGTCCCGTCCGTTCGTTCACCATACAAATACGCTACGGTAAATTAAAACTATATTAAAACATTACTAAACCTTATTTGCCCGCCCCCCTGGATTGTTAATCGATTTTTTTTGCACCCCCCCCCCCTAGAAAGTTTTCTGCGGGCGCCCATGGTAGAATATGAAATAATGGGATCGTAAGACCATCTATTTATACTTTCTACATCTGTTTACTTGACGCCGGCCTTGTATTTCAAGAACGATGCACAGTTCCTGGACGCCCTTGTCATAAAACTAAATTCAAAGACCTAGTCTACTTAAAATTAAGACAGCTTATGATTACAATGTTGGGCGCACAATTTTTGATTGAAAGCTAATTCACAATAAACTGAACAACTTATTTCCATTAAGGCTACTTACCAACCAGCATCTTTTAACAAGTCCCGTTCCAATTAAATGCAAGGAACTTATGAGCTTCGAATCTTGTCGCGTGTATACAGTCACCTGTCCTAGACTAAAGTACAATAGACTATGCTATCATGCGTATACAGATATTTGCAGACCGCGCGCCAACAGTTGAAATTGTAGACTAGTCAGAGGACCTATCTGTGCGGCATCGTCCCTTATGTATGTAAAAACCACTAAAGACCCACAGACGAAATAAGGTACTTATTTTAAGGAGCCATGAGAGGCCCACAAAAGACCGTGCTCTGAAGTGTGTTAAGAAGTGTTTGTATAAGCCGATAACACTAAACACTCCAATAATGAGACTTTATAATGTATGTATGTCACTCGCCACATACAGCTTGATTCCCTATCAATGTTCAGAGTTGATCAAAATCAAATGTCCAGTTTAAAGTGTAAAATTGTCAGTTACTAGTGTTGTGTAAACGGGAATGACTTAATATAAACAATTTCTCTTCCAACCAACCAAGCGTAACATTTTTACCTGTGTTGACCATGGTTCAGCAATGTCAATAGGCAATGCCACTAAGTCTTTCGTATGGGGCGTGGGTTTGTGTGTGTTTGGTATGGGGTGTGCGTGTGTTTGGTATGGTGTGTGTGTGCGTGTTTGGTATGGGATGTGCGTGTTTGGTATGGGATGTGCGTGTTTGGTATACGATGTGTGTGTTTGGTATGGGGTGTGCGTGTTTGGTATGGGATGTGTGTGTTTGGTATGGGATGTGCGTGTTTGGTATAGGGCGTGCATGTTTGGTATGGGGTGTGCGTGTGTGTAGATAGTGGCTATTGCATGTGTGTAGATAGTGGCTATTGCATGTGTGTAGATAGTGGCTATTGCATGTTGTGTGTTTGGTATGGGGTGTGCGTGTGTTTGTCATGGTGTGTGTGTGCGTGTTTGGTATGGGATGTGCGTGTTTGGTATGGGGTGTGCGTGTTTGGTGTACGATGTGTGTGTTTGGTATGGGGTGTGCGTGTTTGGTATGGGATGTGTGTGTTTGGTATGGGATGTGCGTGTTTGGTATAGGGCGTGCATGTTTGGTATGGGGTGTGCGTGTTTGGTATGGTGTGTGCGTGTTTGGTATGGTATGTGCGTGTTTGGTATGGGGTGTGCCTGTTTGGTAAGGGGTGTGCGTGTTTGGTATGGGGTGTGCGTGTTTGGTATAGGATGTTAGTGTTTGGTATAGTGTGTGCGTGTTTGGTATGGGATGTGCGTGTTTGGTATGGGATGTGCGTGTTTGTTATGGGGTGTTCATGTTTGGTTTGGGATGTGCGTGTTTGGTATGGTGTGTGCGTGTTTGGTATGGGATGTGCGTGTTTGGTATGGGATGTGCGTGTTTGTTATGGGGTGTGCGTGTTTGGTATGGGATGTGCGTGTTTGTTATGGGGTGTGCATGTTTGGTTTGGGATGTGCGTGTTTGGTATGGTGTGTGCGTGTTTGGTATGGGATGTGTGTGTCTGGTATGGGGTGTGCGTGTGTTTGGTATGGTGTGTGTGTGCGTGTTTGGTATGGGATGTGCGTGTTTGGTATGGGATGTGCGTGTTTGGTATGGGGTGTGCGTGTTTGGTATGGGGTGTGCGTGTTTGGTATGGGATGTGCGTGTTTGGTATGGGGTGTGCGTGTTTGGTATGGGATGTGCGTGTTTGGTATGGGATGTGCGTGTTTGGTATGGGGTGTGCGTGTTTGGTACGGGATGTGCGTGTTTG